CTACTGGAAAACTTGACTGAGAAGAACACAGCGGTAAGATAAGCTCGGTACAAATATGCAATTTAATGCTTTTTTTGGTTGTTTTTTTAAACAGGTTGTCTAGTGTGGGGCCTGATATATTGCTCATGTAATAAATGAGAATGAGAGGATAAAAGGAAAATAAAATGCGTGTCGTTCCTCAGGTCCCATGAATATGAATAATGCACATTCTAGTCCTCTCTTATTAGATGGGAAAACATGTTGGGTTTGCTGGTAAGATATGAGAGTGTTCCAGTGTGATTTACCTCAAAATACTGGAACCTTGTTACATTTGCTAGAATAGGGGTCTGCCATAATTTAGAGCTGAAATAACATTTGTTAAGGTTTGTTATTTAGCTGTGCACATTGGTATAAGGATAAAGGTTGGCATGTTAAATGCAGCCCAAATTAATCTATTGTCTCAAAATATGACTAGGAATTTGGAAGTGCTTCCATTTTGTAGTAATTAAGAACTAGTTTAGCTCTTTTCATAAACTTGCCTGAGCTGCTTTTGTTAAGCAGTGTCTGAAATGTAAATGAAGAACTGTTACAGATACTTGAGGCTCTACTTACCTCCAGAAGGAATTGCAAGTTTTTCAAGCAACTGTGTCAGAAGAGTGCACCTAGCTATCATGTGTACACTTAAAGCGTCCTTAGGGAAGAAGAGATTATTTAGTACAGTGGCCAGTGAGTATTGCAGTTGGACTAGATGATTGTTATAGATCCCTTCCAACTGAACTATTTTATTCTATTATTGACTAGATTTAGAGAATTTACGCAGCTACTGGTCCTCTCGTTCATCCCCCTGCCTCTCTTCCTAGCATTGCTATAAACTAAGGGGTCAGCAACTTTTTGTTCTGCAGTCTCCTCTGGATCCTGGATCTTCAGTGGTTTGGACAATGCATTGTGTTGAATGGTATACAGTCCTCATTTGCAGCATGTTGGTGCTCCTCTCATAATTAATCCCAAAATAGCCTATAGATCCTTGTGCCAGGGATTCTGGACAGTGCGGATTCTGGACAGTGCAGATTAACTGGAACCAGGCATCCAGGATGGGATAGAAGGGGAGTTGTCAGAGGCAAGAGCTGGGTGAAGCAGTATGGGAGATCATGGAAAGGACTTCTCAAATCCTGTCTTCAAAAGATTTTTGGTTTGGGTTTTGCTTTTTTGTTGTTGTTGTTGGTTTGGGGTTTTTTTGTGAGGTTTTTTTTGTTTGTTTTTTAATTGAGAAGGAAATCCAGCTCAATATGCAAGGGCAAATGGCAGCTGTTTGACAACAGACTGTTTTCTACTCTCAGGAGAGGACTCACCAGTACAATAGGCATGATTATATCATCCCATGGGGATACAGCTAAACGAACATAGCAACACTCTTCGCAAATAGTTCTACAAATAAACTGTATCAGTTTACTGTTTTCAGGATTTCTATTTACTTTTTTGCTAGTGACGGAGTTTAGATATAAGAAACACTTAAGATTTCAAGAATATGATGAAAATACAGCTAGCCATTTTAGCAAAGGAACACAGAGCAGAACTGATAAAGTTGTTCTCAACAGCTCTTAATTACTTGCATGAATATATTCACCTACCAATTGAATAAATAGTCTGCGAACAGTAGGAGAGGGCTTATCTCTTTCATAGTGCAAGAAGAAAAATGCCATTTCAATGATCCTACTGTGAAGACAAATTTATCAACAACTTCAGGTTTAAAAAAAACAAACCTGAAATTTACTGCATAGCTGTAATTCCTGAGTCTACAATATCTACAGGCCTTCCTATAGCTTTTTGCTAAGGAAAATTATACATTTATCAGATTTATTATGTTCAATGAAGAATTATCGTAGGCCTTTTATAAAATCAGTGGGAGAGAGATCCAAAAGATCCTAGAGAAGAAACATTAAAAAAGTAAAACCTACAGTTTGATTGCAGTATTTGAATGCTGTACTATCACTGGCCTTACGAAATAAACATATGCATGCAAAAGGTTTATAGGCAACATTCACAAATAACTCCTTTTGAACGATATATAGCATTTTAGGTAGTTCCTTCACAAAAATTTCGCCATCAATTTCTGCCAGAATGACAGCTCACTAGCTAACTTAATTTGTTTGGAACTGTAATCTTCCTCGCTCTAACACATCACTTTTGGCCACAGAAGCATACTTGAGTCTACCAAACCAAGGAAAATGAGAAGGCAAAAAAGTAATTTCTTTGTTTTAAATATGTTGACCATTTTTATAGGCTGTTATTTGACTGTTATAAGCAGGGGGTTTGTGCAGTGGGACTGAAAACATGAGCATAACAGACTAAGTTCTGCCTTGCCACAATTCCTACACATGGGCAGGCTCCATTGTCTGCAATGTCAGCAAACTGGGTAGTGCAATAAGTTTATTGTCACTATGAGAGAATAAGTCAAGGTAAGTTTAGGAGAGAAGTGAATCAGCCAGAGGACAAATATAGCCAGATAGCTGAGAGCTAAAAATAGCAGATACAAAAGAGAAGAGAGAAAAAAAAAAAAAAACAAAAAACCTTGATAAAAGCAGCAGTATCTGTTCTCCACTTCACTTAAATAAGATAATTTTACAGATGGCCAGTAAAAGTCAAAAGTTATAATCAGCAGATCCAGTACAAAATTATAATAGTGATTTAGGTCAAAGTCCAAATCTGTGCTTTTCTTACTTCCTCTATTTTCTTACCGCATTTTCATGAAAGCTCTACAAAGCTCAGGAAAAAAATTAAAATAACTGACAACTTTAGATATTCAGTATTTATCAAGTATTTTACTTGAAATAAATTCCCATTGGCATCCTACAGTGATTTAAACTACCATGAACAGGTAGGGAAGGAAATTAGAAGATCAGAGACCAGTTTCAGAGACAGCAGTAATAAAATGTGAAAACCTCAAATGGCCTCTATGGCACACCAGATTCTAGTTTGGGTTTTTTGTTGTTGTTTTGGGCTCTGGTTGTTTTTTGTGTTTGGAGGGTTGTTTTTGGTTTGGTTGTTTGGCCCCCCCCCCCCCCAAGTTTGAGAAAGACTTTCATTTCAATATATCTTAAGGAAGTGGCTTAAAGTCAGGTTTAGGCCTATGTTCAAAGTTACACCTGACACAAATGCAGATGTTACAACGAAATCTCTCTTTCGGAGTGGGGTGGATGGGGAAGCGCAGCACATCACCAACTTTATAAAACTGTTGAATCTCCACACAACTTCACCTCATACAAGCCAATTCATACATGTGAACCAAGAAAATGTATTTGTTTTATCTGTTATCGAGCAGCTATAGGTCCACATTAGACAAGGGTAAAAGAATCTATTTCAAGAGCTGCAAAGGAGAAGGAAGTGAACTCCAGACTATTTTCGAATGACAGCATAACACCCACCTTGAAAACCACTGAAACCAACAAAAAGATCCACTAGCAAAACATAGGAGAATGTAGATATTGCATAAGCACACTCACCTGGATTAGGAAAAGCCTGCTCCACAGCCTAAAGTCAATCCTTAGGTTCAGTGTAAATCAGGAGTATTTCTAACACACAGCTATGAGTTAGGTTGAACATTCTTGAGACTGGTGAATTTAACAGCTGTTCTTCATTTTGGGTTAAAAGTCAGACTCACTTAGGATCTTTGATGGAACCAG